GGCACAGAGGCGGTGCCTCTCCTGGGCTGCAAGCTCTTCTCGGGCGGGACGGGCTTTCCCCTGGGGCTCTACCACTATCGAATAATGCCTGGACCCAGAGTCAGCTCAGAGATTGTGGAATGAAGCAGAACTTCTCGTTTGCTTATAGCCCACCAAGCTCCCCTGGCAATAAGGAGGGCTGAGACCGGTCTCTGAGCCAGGGGCCTGACCCCGCAGGCACCGGTTTAGCTGTTATCTGTCTCACTCAGCCTTAGGTTGAGAATATCTTTCCTTCCATTGGATCTAGGGCACAGTGTTCAGCAGCTGAACCAGACACCACGATCGGGACGTGCCCACAAGTTATTTACCCAATCCCATTTTCAGACATCTTAGTTGTTTTCAGAGTTAAACTATTACAAACAACCTGTGCACTTTATTAATTATGTTTTCAAGATAAATAACTGGAAGGAGAATTACAAACAAAGGGACGATATTTTAAAGTTTTTGATGCGCACTGCCAAACTGGAAAAGGTCTCTGCGTTTGTCTTCCAGAGGGGCGGGGCTGTGTGTAGGAGCATCTCAGGGTCCCCCAAACCCCACCCCGTCGATTCCAGCAGAAGTCAGTGTTCTTTTGCAGTTTTTGCCCATCTGATTTGTCTGTCTCTAAATCTCATTCTATTTGGAATCAACCTGAAACTTTCTGAAGGATTTTTTTTATCCTTACCCAAGGACTTCCCCCCACCCAGTGCTCTTACAGAGAGAGGAAGGGAGAGAGGGAGGGGGAGAAAGAAACATCGATTCGAGAGGGAAGCGTCGATCCAGTTACCTTCCATATGAGCTGGACCGGGGACTGAACCCACAGCCTAGGCATGTGCCCTGACTGAGAATCGAACCCGCAACCCTTCAGTTATGGGACAATGCTCCAACCAACTGAGCCACACCAGCAGGGCTTTTTGAAGGATTCTTCCTCAAAAAGCGGGAAAGGGAGGTTTTGGAAGGTGGGCTGCCTGGAGGCAGGTGTGGTAGCAGGAGAGAGAGGGAGAGGTGGGGGCGGCAGTGGCCCCAGGACTGGACCCCATGCAGGAAGGACAAGGACGCTTTTGGTGCCGACCGCCTCCCCCCAGCTTGGGAGTCTGAGTCTGGTCTGTTCTGGTCCACACCTCCCTGGCTCACCTCCAACCCTGCAGCATGGGCCTGGGGGTGGGAGTTTGGCCTTCCTGCACCGTGGGTGCTGTCCCTGGGTGGAACTCGTGCCTCCAGCCACCTGTGATCTCCGAGTTTAGGTTTGTGGAGAAGCTGCCTGTGAAAGAGGGACCCGAGCTGGGGCACAGCTCCAGTGAGGGGCCAGCAAAAGGAGGCAGGACCTGCCCTCAGAAACCAGTCTGTGCACCCTGACATGGGGTGGAGTCCTCGCAGGTCCTGACCTACTGGAGCCAGGCTGGCAGTGCCCCCTGAAGCCGCACGCTGGGATTTTGTCTGGGTCACGTGACGGCAGCCCAGGTTTGCTTTTTCCCTCGTTGTTGCTTCTCATACATAAAATGAGCGTGTGTTTATTTAATACAGCTTTCAAACTTAAACAAATAATGACAGGCTGTTCAAACAGACTTCGGAAATCGCCCTAATCAGGATGTTTGAAAAAGCAAGGAGACTGTGTGGCAGTAGCTGTTAGGACTTTCAAACCATGGGCCTGGTCGCCACTTTGGAGCACGGACGGGAAAAGCTCAGAGGCCGGATCAGTCTCAGGGGGCTCACGACGCCCCTCAGCCCTGCAGCCTGACTTACCGACTGGTGAGGAGGTCTAGATGGGCACTGTATGTTCATTTCCTGTCTTCCCCGGAACACATCATATATGCATTTTAATCCACAATTTCTATAGAAATCACTAAGCATCTTTAGAGGGAGCTAGTAAAGTGCTTCTGTGGAAGCTCCCCTTCTGCCCCCCCTTCCCCCAATGGAGTCTCTGGACAGAAGGGCAGCAGGTTTGCTAAAGGGCAGATGAGAGAACAGGTTAATGTCACCACTAGTTCAGTGTTCCGGGCCACACTAACAGATGGCTGTAAGTCTACCCATGTTAATCTTCACAATAACCAATTTTATGGGTGAAATAAATGAGGCTCAGGGTTGGGTAATTTGTTCAAGATCATCAGCAATAAAATGTCAAGGCCAGGATCCCACCCAGACCTTCTCCCCAAGTGCAGAGCGGTTCCCAGAGCCCAGCAAGCTGCGTCAGCACCTCTGTGCTGGGCCTCTGGGTCGGAGAAGCTGTGTTAGCGCATCCCACCCGAGGTAGGGTGTGTTCTCTGTGATGCTCGTCAGAAACGGCCCCTTGGAAGCCCAGTGTTTACGTGAGATGATGGGGGTGCAGGGAGGGGATTATCCCAGCCCCAGGGAGGAAGGGGTATTTGGACAGGCACTTCTTCTACCGCCTAGGACTGTGCACCAGGTGGATGGGGAGGCAATGCCAGCCCCTTGTCCCTCCGTTCTCCCTCCACTTCCCCAGGATGGCTCCTTGCCCAAAAAGGTCAGATGGCCAGGGTCTTAGTCTGCGTCCTGGTCAGCCACAGAAAACTCCATGGCAAGTCAAGAAATGCAGCTTCTAGCTGCGGACCTTCTTTCTCAGCATCCAGCTCAGTTGCACAGCCGCATCCGTGATCCGAGGGCGTCCTTTGCTGGGCTGTCGGGGTTCCAGCCTGCAGCTGCCTCAGAGCGGGCATCCTGGGGGGGGGGGTGGTCATCATCGTTCCCAGCCCTGTCTCCAGGGTCCTGGGATGCACTTCACAGGAGGCAGTTTCTCCTGCCCCCTAACATGCGCTGACCGCTTCCCACCCCACTTGTCACTGACTGTGCACAGGGAAGGCACATTTCTCTCTCTACAAGCCACCATGAGTGTCACCTCAGCTCTGTACTATGAGCATGAAGCACACATTTCTTTTATATCTGTTAGAGCCTCAATTTGCTGAGGCTCAAATTTGGAACATTTTAACAATAGGTTAAAAAAATAGAGAAGAAACCCCTTGCGCCCTCTTCTGGTACGAGCTAATCCGGTGCGTCTGCAGGGCAGCTCTGCTGCTGGCCGGCTCAGCTGCTCATCTTGTGCTAATTTGACCAAAGCCATTGACGTACCAGATAGGCCGCTGGGTCTTCTGTGGTCCGTGATCCCAGGGTTTCTTCCAGATCTTTCTTCACAGGGTTTCTCAGCCTTGGCACATTGGAACATGGCGGTGGGGGCTGTCCTGTACCCCTTCCCCTACCCCCACCTGAAATCATGACTACCAAAAATGTTTCCAGATACTGCCAAACATCCCCCAGGGGTGCAGCTCACCCCCCCCCCAAGTGAGAAACACTGCCCTGAACCCTTGCCAGCCTTTTGTACAAAATGTCACCAGTCCAGGGAAACCAATGAGAAAGTCAGGACGACTTCAGGGAGCAATTCTGATGGCCGGTCAAGTGAGTTCACTGCTAGGAATTGGTCTCAAAAAAAGAGAAAGCCCACACCTGAGCAAGCACATAAAAGTATATGTAAGAAATACATCATAATACCATGTATAATAGTAAGCATTTAAAACAACCCAAATAAAGAACTGGTTCAACACAGCATAGTGCATGTGTGTGTGGAATACTATGCAGCCATGAAAAGTCGTTGTGTAAATCTATATTTAATAATGTGGGATGTTCCCCTAATGATGCATTAAATTCCCACCTCCAGGACTACTCCAGGATTCCCAGAAGTCATTGTATTTAGAAAGAATAATTTCAAAACAGCCAGAGTAAGCATCTGGGTGAAGTATTAGGCTAAACAGAATTCAAGCCTGTGTCCGAATTCAGAAAACTTGAACTGTTCATTAAATGAACATTTATTAAGCACCTCCATGTACCAAGCAAGACCTTGCACAGCACGGGGGAGGCAGAGATGACCCCTGGTCCCGGAACCGCAGTACTTGCCCCAAACAGACGAAAACACCGTGAAAGCCATCAGAACCTCAACGCACAGCGGTGCCAGAAGTCCCTGCCTGCCATGCGCTTACCAGCTCCCGAAATGAAATCGTGTGTTCCAGTTCCAGGTTGTTGGAATGCTGAATAAATCACACCATGTGAAAAAGCATTTCATTTACTGATTTATATATTTACAGAGTTGTCCAAACACTAATTGGGTCCAAATGTGGAAACTAATCTTCCCCAACAAATCTAACAAGCGCGTGTGCAATGGTTGGTTCACTGCAACGACCCAGAAACCTTTGCTACGCACGACACGCTGCCAGCCTGGCTTCCCAGCAGCGATTTGAAGGAGAGACAGGGGCCGTCTCCTCTCCTCGGGGACCTGTGTGCCCGTAGGTGACCCCCTGCTTGTCAGGTCCACAACCGGAGTTAAGTGCGGAGTTATGGTCATCCAGTCTAGCCCTCCCGTCCCACCCGCCCCAGGAGAAAACTTACAACTCCTTCCTTTCTAGGGAACACCCAGTCCTTGCTCTCAGAGGCTAGGCCACTGGTGGGGGGCGCCCTGCTGTGCCCACCACATCAGCATCTGCCACAGACTAAAGACCAAGCACTCGCAGACCTGCTGTTAGAGCACCAGCACTGCTTGGCTCCGGGTTCAAATTCTGGCTGTCCCACTGATTAGACAAACCCTTTAACCTCAATGAGTCAGGTTTTTTTCTCTACAGAATGACTCCGTAAGATTGGTATAAAGAATAAATAAAGTAGTGCACGTAGCAGACATTTGATAAAAGAGTGTGGTCATAGTTGTTGGTCTTTTATTCCTGTGAATGGCCATGCTCACAAAAATGGCAAAGCCTCCCATATTTCTAATGGCCATTGTTGTTTAATTCTCCCCGTCACACTTACCAGTCAACTAGGTAAGAGCTTCATGAGTGAGAAACTTCGTCTATGTCATTCGCTGCTGGTCTGGTGCCTGCCGGGGACCCAGAGTGTCCATCAGCATCTCCCGAGTGAAAGCGGAAAGAGTGGGTCTGCTCTCTGTCTCTGATCCTCTTTCTTTTCCGTCCCCCCTCCCTCCCCTGCAGGACGCCTTCGTGGAACTGTACGGCCCCAACATGCGGCCTCTCTTCGACTTCTCCTGGCTGTCCCTGAAGGCGCTGCTCAGCCTGGCCCTGGTGGGCGCCTGCATCACGCTGGGGGCCTACCTGGGCCACAAGTGAAGCCGACAGGCCCACCCTGAACAGATATGCAACAGGTTCACTAAAGCAGTAGAAATATATGCACCGTTAGTAACGGACCACAAAGCGAAGCTGTGGTCTCTTAAAAACAAGCTAGCAAACAAACAAAAAAACAACAAAAACAGCTTTCAGGCTCAACGTCGAATCAGCTATTTACTGCCAAAGGAAAATACCATTTATTTTTTACATTTTTGAGGGGGAAAAAAGATTTATTTATTTAAGACAGTCCCACGGAGCATTCTATTTCTGGAAACCCTACCTAGTCGCCAAGCCCCTCTGGTGTGGCCCCACCTGGACCTCCGGGACCTAGGAACTGGTTTGCTTTCCCTGCTGTTGGCCGGGCTGACGCACCATCTGAAGCGCAAACGAGCTGACGAAGGACAGGACTGCTCCAGAGGCCGGGCTCTGGCTGCTGGAGGATTGGAAGAAGGTGTTCATTTGCCTTGCATGTATGTGCCCTGGGGGCTGTGGTATTAATAGAGGGAGGTGCTTGGAGGGAAGTGCATTCTTTCCCAGCTGGAAGAACCTGTGCTTTGCATATGGCTCACATGGTACATACTCGGTTGGAAGAAAGGAAAAAAAATCGGGAACTTCAGATGGACCTGGTATCTGCCAGGATACCCACACCGAAGGACAGGGTGATAGGAAAAATGCCCTTAAACCAGAGGAAAGTATTTTTTTAAGCTACCGATTGTGCCGAGAAGCATTTCAGCAATTTATACAATATCATCCAGTACCTTAAGCCCTAATGTGTACATTCATATATTTTGGATACACTCCACCTCCAAAAACTGGCTCTGTGTGAAACAATCCCCTGGAAAGCGAGGAAGCGAACGTTTCGGTGACTTTCTCGGCATCAGCAAGGCTAGAGTTCCCCAGAAGCATCCAGCCGCCACAAGTGCCTGCTTTTCTGCAAGAGGCCATGGTTTGGAGCCCTGCCCTGCAGCCCCGAGGCCTCTTCCTGGGGCTGAGCCTGGGCAGTCGCTGGCCTGCTCCAGGGGTTTTAAACAGAGCAGTGTGGTCTCCCAACGTCTGGAAGCTGACGGAGTCCAGAACCCCTTGGTCAAGAAAGAGCAGGAGGGTGGGGCCTGCTACCCTGGGGCCCTCCAGAAAGGGCCTGTCCACGTGGAACCTGGAAACCGAGCCCGGAAGACGTTCGTCACCGGAGGGAAGAAAACCGGAGCACTGCGCCTTGCCTAGCAGAGGGAGACGGCGAAGGTTGGGAGTGCGGACCACCGAAAGGGAAGGAAGAGCAAGGAGACACAGCGGCCTCCGTGCAGTGTGGCCGCGGCGCATGCGTGCTGGCTGCGCGGCCACCCACCTGTCAGCGTGGTTTCAAGCAAGGCTTTAAATGACTTTGGAGAGGGTCATAAATCCTGAAGGAAGCGTTGAGATGAGGTGTCACGGATTGATTGATCTGTGTCTACGGAATTACGATGTAAAACATTAGCTTGTTATTGCAGTTTGGTTTTATTTGAAAACCTGACAGAAGGGGAAGAAAATGTTCCAGGTGTGGAATGTGAGGATTCTCTGTATATCCTGGGCATTAAAAAAGAAAAGAAAAAAAAAAAAGATAGTTGTGGACAATGCTAGAGCAGTAGCAAAAGAAGTGATCTTCAGCCAACAAACTAGGAAATACTTTTTTGAAGTTTAGAAAATCTTGAGACACATGGCATAACTGTGGCATTACATACCACTCATCTGTATTAACTTTGGAATGTACCAAGTTTGATGTCTAGTGCTATGGTTGATATTTCGAAAGCTGCTTTAAAAAATACATGCATCTCAGAATTTTTTTTTCAATTGTATTTAGTGATGGCCTCTACATCATTTGTTAACAAAACTGATTTTTTTTCCACTTGACATTGTTGCCTCTTCGTCCTGTTGGAGCATTTCTGAGCAGATAAGATGAGCTCTGGGTCTGAGCTGCCTGAGGAACCCGGGAGCCTGCTGACCACAGGGGCTCTTGGCGTCACCCGAGTTCCACGCACGTCCTTGCCACCACCATTGTCCGTCGTGAGGGGCAGACCTGCTTGCCTCCGTGCTCTGGTTCCTGAGGGTGACTCGGTCCCCGGGCAGAATTCAACGCACATTATTCAGGATTGCATTTGTGTTTGGTTAAACCCATGAGGTTCATTCAGTCGGAAATCCAGATGGGAAGTGACCAGAGGATTAAATTCTGGCCGTGAGGGTTTCACCTTTCAGGAGTTGCCGCACACGCCTGTTTCCACCCAGACTCCGACTCCTCCAGAGCCCTCAGGCCCCCCCCGCCCCCCCACAGGGCCCTTGCCCTGGCTGTCTTTCGGGTTTTTCCTGAAATGCAGTGGCATTTACACCCCACACCGAGAAAGCAGGAAACCCCACGGGGTGAAGCCAGACCTCCCTGACCGGCCTCAGGGAACAGGACGATCGAACCTTTGAATGATTCTAGTTTTTAAGAGAAATATTATTTTATGAAAGGTTTACATTGTCAAACATGATGGAAATGGAATATCAACCCCTGTGCTGCTATTCTAGCAAGATCATCCAAGGGAGCCCATATGCGGTGACACTCCAAGTGAGAACAGCCTCCACGCTGCTTTTCAAGTGACAATGAAGAACATGGGTGTTTTTAATATAGAGCTTGTCTGTCTTTTATTGTTGTTACTGTTATTGTTCAAACTGAGATTTTCAGAATATTCGAAAATGTATATATATTAAAAGAAAAACTCGCAGGGGTTGACTTCTGGCTGGTTCTTTTTGCTGTGGGGCTTTCTTACCTGGTTTGGATGGTAAAGGTGCCCCCCGCCTGCCCGCAGGTCTGTACAGTATTGCGGCTGCACTCACTCGGAGAGTAGTTATGTTGCATTTTTCTTCTTGGTAAAAACATGTTAGAAGCAACGAATGTATATAAAAGCCTCAACTAGTCATTTTTTTCTCTCCTCCTTTTTTTAATTGTCTCAATTATTTTGTGACCAGAAAACCAGAGAACCGTTCCTACTTGTGTCTGGTTGAGAAGGGAGTCACACCTGAACGCCTGGTGCACATGTTGGCCAAGGTCAGGGTTAGAGAGAACACATGCACTTTCCAAATGGGGGTCAAGGGCTTTAAAAAGAACCGCAAGGAGGAAATCACCCAGGAGCCTCCTCGTCCTCCCAGACCCTCCCTGCACAAGCACTCTGAAAAGAGATCAAAACAGCCGACAGCCCGCAGCAAGCAGTGAGTCTGTTTTTACAGTGGCTGCAGATTCTTGTACATTTAAGATTTGGATTAGAGCAGCTTTCACTAGTTTCTACAAATGAAAAAACGTACTCTGCCTGAGCCCATTTATTCCTGCTCGTTCAGCTACAGCCCACCACTTGGATGTGACCTCTAGTTTATCAGTAAATATTTATTGCTTATCATATAAAGACCTAGCCCTGGTCCAGTGTGGGAAATTAGGAAGTGAGCATAAATCCAGAGGAGTTAGAATAACGAGGATTAAATGTAAATAAGGCCACCCCCACACATGCCTGCCTTTCTTGTTAAGGATTTACTGATTGAACAGGATTGCAAATAGCCTGTCTTGTCATGAAACTTAGGTTAAAAATGACTAATTTAGAAATGGGAACTTAAATTCGAATTTCAACTGTACTTTTAAGGCAGTGGCTGTTTTTATACTTTCTTATCACTCATGGTTAGTAATGTGCACCTGGTCTATCAGAAAGAAACAGGAAGGGCTGGAAATGTAAGCCACGGCGAGGAAATTGGGGAGTCGGCTGAAATTCTATTCTGGTCTCACTCTGCGGTCCTTTGCTGCCCAGACAGATGGGGCTGCACACTTTTTAAGAAACACAATTCTACATTGTCAGGCTTATGAAGGTTCCAACCGGATCTTTATTATTCTTCCATTTGGATCTTCCAGGGATTTTTGGCTTTCTTATAATGGGACAAAGGACATTTGTTGCAGGGGTGGGAGGGAGGAATTTTCAAATGGGCAGAGCATTCCCGACACTGACCGGATCAGGGCATGGAGGTTTCCCAATAGCCAGGACTGTGGGGCGTAAGATGGAAGTCACTGTGACTTTTCCCCAGAGTCCGTGTCATGCCTCCATGAAGGGCCTTGTGCAACAAGCAAGACACATCTTATTTTTTAATCCTCACCCGAGAATATTGGTGTTAGAGAGAGAGGAAGGGAGAGAGAGAGAGAGAGAGAGACATCGATTAGTTGCCTCCAGTAAGTGCCCCAACTGAGGACTGAACCCCCAACCTAGGTATGTGCCCTGACTGGGAACTTTTCTGTGTGCAGGATGCTGCTCCAGCCACCTGAGCCACCTGGCCAGGGCACAAGCAAGAAACATTTGACAGTTCTGCAGTATGTCTACATTCTAGAGATGTGAAAACAACGGAAAATGCAGCTCCGCAGGGCCGCACCGGTGGGCCAAAACTCTTTGAAACATTTGCCAGCCGTGGTATATTACTTCAAACTTGGCTATGTCTAGTGGCTACTTAAAACGATACATTTGCAGTTTTAACCAACAGGACATTTCCTAAAAGCCTTCTGGCTGGTAGGGACATCTGTTTCTAAATATCATGCACAATGCAGAAAGGAAATAAAACAATGTGCAACTCAATTAGGGAAGCGATCATGCAAGCCCCTGGTCCTTACCCAAAGAATCATTCTGTTCCGTGTCTGTGTCAATAGAACAGACCTTGGACAACTGTGATGTATGCATCCCACTGGTCACGAAGAAAACCAGGTGAAGTGTGAAAGGGATTTCACCAATTGCTCATGACCACGATCCTATTGATGACAAGTCTGTTTGTGTACGAATGTAAGGCCAGCAGACAAAAACACTTTGCAAGACAGAAAAGCTTCCTCGGAAGAGACTGGGACTCTTACTAAATGTGACTGTGATGTAGATACCTAGTAATGCCGTATATCTAAACCTTTTGGGGACTCTGCGGTGGGCCTTGCAAGCTCGCTCATTTTGTTATGGTTTTCCCTCTGGGGTACTATTTGAAGGAGTGATAGCCAATTGAGTTTCTTCCTGGGACGTATTGGGGATTGTGTTTATTATACTGTCTTCTTAAGTTTTCAACCAACTTTTGCTTTTGTTTTGAGTTACTGGGATTATTTTTTGTTTGAAATAAAAATAAGCGTATAAAAAGCGTTTTCGTGTTGAAAGCTTTTGTTGTCAACATTCTGCTTTTACCTTCCATGGCTGTTTTTAGGAAATACTTTTTGGAGGTGGCTGACACCCTCCAACATTTTATGCACACATAAAAATACATGATAAACATTTTATTTTTTATTAATTTTAGAGAAAGAGACATCTACTTGTTGTTCCACTTACACTTTCATTGGTTGATTATTGTATGGGCCCTGACCAAGGATCGAACCTGCAACCTTGGCATTTCAGAGCAATGCACCAACCAGCCGAGTTACCAACCAGGGTCTGCAGTAGGCATATTTTAGATAGTTAAGATAGATTAAGTCTCTAGTTGGCCAGCACTGAATATAAGGGCACTTTTTGTGTGTTATCAGGAAAAAAGCGACATTGTCGTGAAACTTCTCTTGTCCGTGCAGTTAATATTGTGAAGAAAAATACGGTGTGAGATACTGGCTGTGCCCTAGAACTGTTTATAGAGCAGTGACAGGACTTTGCTCTGCCCTTGACCGTCATTAAACTAGACTTTAACAAGCCAGCAGAGCCACCAGAAACCTCATGCTAATGAAGCCCCTGGGGACCAGGCCACGCGATTGCCTCACAGGTGAAACCACCTTAGAAGGAGGCCCTCCTGTTTCTCGGTTACTCAACCTCCCGGTTACTTAGGTCCGAGATGGACCAGCAGTGGGTTCGACTCCCAGAGAGAGCCGTTGTTGCTGTGGGGTGTGCTTGTCCACACCCAGGGCTGATCCCAGCCTGAAGCTGCAGTCCAGAAGATGAAGGATTGTGTAAGAACGACAGAAACAAGCTGCAGGTTCTGTTTTGATGTGAGCATTTTAAGATACCAAAGCAGTCATTTATGTGGGAGAAAAAAATAAAAAGCCCTGTGTAGCCAACCTCCCGTGTTTCCCCCTGGTACCCATACCCCAAACACCAACCCGCCAAGGCTCTTCCCTTCAACCGAATTGAGGGGACTCGGGGAGCGACACCCACCCAGCAGCACCTGCTGCACACCAGCACTGTACCCACGGTACCACCAGCTCTTACTACCTTGGAAGGTAGGCACTGGCTTCTCCTCTTTGTAGGGAAAAAACTGAGACTGACAGAAGGTGAGCAATGTGCCCAAGTCCTCCTCACATAGGACCAGCCACAGGAGGCCGTGGTGCGGCGCATTCCAAGCCCACACACCCTGTCTCCATCAGTGGTCTTCAGATTGGAACGGCTGCCCGTGGGGCCTTGGGGCACAGCCTTTCCAAGGGATAACCGGGTGTTCCAGGGAATCGGAACTCTCAACAAGAGCCTGGTGCGGGAGTGCCAGGGAATCAGGCCTTCTTGTGCTTCGAATGTTTGAGTTTGGGTGGGTAACTGTGCATCCATGGTGGATTCTGACCCCTTGGCGTGGAAAGGTCACTCTGGGGTGAGTGCTTTTTTTAGTGCACATGAGTACTGTCCAACCTCAAGACTTCTGGCCTCATTCTGTTATCTTGGAAATGGGAGGAGGCCGGTTCAGACTGGTTCTGTGGTCATAGAAGGATTTACACCAAGGACATGAGCAAAACCTACAGAGCCGAGCTTGCTTTTTTAAAAAATCCCCCCTCTGCTTCATTTCCCATTGTGCTGACCTACCTCCACATTCTTGGACACTGCCCTTGGGTAAGAAAAACCCTCAGGTTACCAAAAGGTCTGATTCCAGTCTTTAGGAGGAGGAGCTAGTCCCATTTGCAAACTGTTGTGTTTTGTTTTTTTTTTCAATTCTTTGCTTCCAGCAAACTTGGAAGCGTACCTACTCAAGACAGCTGGCGGAGATGGATTTTTTTAAATGTGATTTCGGAATAAAGTTCAGAAGTCCAAAGCACTGAGTAATATTACTATAACGAACTCCTTCCACCCCATGTACTTGTTGTGTGTCCAACACTCCTCAGAGCTTACATCTTTAAAAAAAAACAAGAATAGACTTGGAGCAGGTGATTTATACTTATGGGTACATACCCTCCTTGGGGAGGTAGACGAAACCAGCCCCGTTCATTTTATTAGTAGGTGCATTTCCACTAAAGTTCAAAATTTATATTTAATAATTATTCATCAAAATTTATAACGTATTTGTAGATTTTTATCAATTGTGTCATAATATAAATTTTAATAATGACTCAACCCAGAGACAAAAAAGTAAAGCCGTATGGTCACAAACATTTTTAGACTTACTTTTGTTGTAGAAAATTATGAGATTAACTTTAATCTTTCAGTTGTAAGAAATACCATATTAAGATAGAATGGAGGGTAGACATGTGAATTTGAGGGGAGAAAAATAAAGTGTAAAATTCGTAGGTGTCAAAAATAATTTGTTCTTACATTTTTCACAGAGATGATGCTGAATATCAAAGCATTACGGTATTAGATTCCACTGCCTGTAATGAAGTGATGTAGCACATTCATTTTTGTCCGTTGTTAAAATGCCTTCCCAGACAAAGTTGATATTAGAATGTGAAAAACTCTGTTCAGACTGGCCCCCGTTCAGGGATTCTCTATCGGGGCGGACACCGAGAGAGAGCAAAGACTCAGTCTCCACCAGCGAATGGCCCGGGTCCGACTGACGGGTTTCAAGAAAGCTGAGTGGGGAGCCCTGGCTTCTCAGGATTTCTTAATCCCATTAAAGTCCATCCGGAAATTACCCAAGCATTTTATCAGGAATTATAATTACTTCATGGAAGGGGCTGTAAATTGCATCATTTAAAAAAATCCTACCACTGATGGTTTGGGGACAATTTTTTCTTTCATATGATTAACAATGCATTGGAAATGAAATCCTTCACAACTAATACATTTCAATTTTAAACATGAAGTGCCAACTTAAACTTCCTTTAGTGGCAACTTGTTGGCAGCCCCCTGCCCTGTTTGCCCCTCTCAGAACTCCTCTGACCTGGACTGGACGTTGCAAGGAGGGGGGGGTTGGGGGGGCAGAGGGTACACTCCCCCCCAGGACCCAATAGGGAGCTTTGGTATTGAAGTAAATCTTTCTGTCAGCACCAACGAAGGTAATTGGGTAATAATTGTAATAATTACTCACTCCATGACCCAAAAAAGTAAATAAATAAAGCTTCGGGGCCACAAAAACTTATTTAATGTTTACTTTTGTTATAAAAAGTATGAGGTTAATCCATTTTAAATGTTATTCTTTTTGTTGCAAAATTTATGTTAAAATCTCTTTTTTCCCCTCTTTGGTTTTGCGTTAAAAAAAAAACCCTGCGGCCCATTGCCCCCGCTTATCCCACCTGCCATTTGTCTGTCTGTCTGTGTGTCCTCGGTGGCATATGCCTATGCCCTTTTAATCTGTGATGTCGAAACATCTGAGCCCATGAAATGAAAGGATGCCCCAAAGCAATGAGGCCCCTTCCTCCCTCTTTTTTCACCCCGAGAGAAGGACCCTTGGACTTTAATAATAGATTCCCTCCAGCGTCTCCAACAGCTCCTCCGTGGGTCCAGAATAAGAGTCCCTGAGAGCAACTTTCAGAAACTGCCAGGCCTGAGACAAGCCAGCCCACCACCACTTTGTGGGTGCTGTTTGAAGACATGAGCTTCACAGGTCATGGACAAAGACTCAGGCCAAAGACAGCCAGAGCATCAGCGATTTTGGAGTCAGGTCCCCAAGCCCCAGCTACCACAGGACAAAGCGAAGGGGACCTGCTGGCATTCGCATGCACAATGGGTTGTGACACAGGAGAGGAGCTCTGAGTTCAAGAGTTTAAAAAAACTCGGGTGTTTTATCATGAGCAGGAAGCAAGTCTGCCCTTTGCTGTGGAAGAAGACACCGTGTCTGTCTTCCAAGGCTGTAAGCAAATCTGGGCTTCGCTCTGGAGGAAGACCGTCTCTCCCTCCCAAAGCTGTTGGCTGTGCATCATCCTTGGGACCCAAGAGCAGTCAGTGCCCAGGACCAGGACATAACCGGAACCAGAACCCCTGAACCCCTGCAGAAACCAAGGGTCCTTTGTGCTGGAAGATCCAGTTCTGACACCTGCGACCAGGAATGGCCAAGCTCAAGGCCCTGCAGTAAAAACTCGCCCACCAGCACTTCCAGGCACCTGTTTCCTCAGCCCCTTCAAAGTTCTGGGCCTGGTCCAGTGAGAAGGAGGGTCTGAGGCACCGCTAGGTCTCTCATCTTCTCAGTTGGCACCTTCTCCATCAATGAACCTTCCTCACTCCCAACCCTGGAGTTCTGAGTGTTGGCCTTTCAAAGCACTGGGTACACAGACTTTGGTTGGGAACCGCCATTCCATGAGCTCTTTATTGTCTGTAGTCATCTTCAGCACCAGTTGTGAGTGATCTACCAATTACGTTACTAGAAGTCTT